GGGAGGAGGCAGAAAGGCCTGGGACAGCGATGGGGCAACACCCCTGCCCCGGCTGCCTCCGGAAACCCCCATGGGACTGAAGCCTCCCTAGGGGCCAGGGGCCAAGAACCGTCCTGACCAGGGGCTGGCCAAAGAAAGCCAGTGTGAGGGCACGAGAGACCAGGCTCAGAGAGCGAGGCGACACACACACCCTGCCCTGCGAGCAAACTGTCCTCCCCCCCACATGGGGCAGCCATGCAATATATAGGGGGAAACTGAGGCATGCAGCAGACTTAAAAAAAAGGCTATAGAAGATTCCCAGTTCGTCCCACTCAGTCCTTTGCCCTCCCCGCACAGCGGGACGAAGCCCAGAGGTGTGCACAGGCCCCACGAACATATCACTAGAATTCCCATCGTTGTCACAGCACCTGTGGAGCGACAGCGGAGACGCGCTGTGGGCGGCCGCTGTTCTTTGGGAGCCTCCGTGGCCAAAGCCCGGCCTCGCGGTCTAGCAGGAAAGCAGTTTGCAGGCAGGAGACTCAAGGGGGCAGGTTTGTATTTCATTAAACCCAGTGACACCAAGGAGGGGCCAATGGATTCGTTTTCCGCGCTGCACAGGCTGGCCTTTGGGTTGGTGACCCTGCTAGCAAGCCGAGCGGCTCGCGCCACAGTTACCTTGCGCGCGATCTCGGCACACTAGGGAGCACCTCGAGTCCTTTGCCACTGTGGAGCATCCCGTGGGCAGCATGTGCTTCATCTTCCTCTTGCCACCGTGGCCAACGCTGGGCATCAAGCCTTGGCCCTTGGAGCTGCTGCGAGCTCGGTTATCGATACCGCTTGGTTTACGCCCGTCGCGTAGCCTGGCTGATGGCGGCTGAACGTCTTGGTTCCGCAGGGCTCTGAGTGCAGGCCAGGTGACAGTGCCTGTGCCCACGGGTGGGTGGTTTCCCGGTGACGCCCGCTGGCCTCTCCCAGAACGGACCTCGCGGGTTTCCCCCACTCATGCGCTCCGTGGGTCGCACAGCTGCAGTGCCCCACAGGACAATGAGCACCGCAACGGCCACGTACCCAAGGGTTAGCCCCAGGATGACGTACGGCTCCTCGGGTCGGCTCCCTTCCTCCGAGGCTGTGGAGAGAGAGTCAGACTCAGGTCCCCATGTGGCCCTGGGTGGTTCAAGCTATTCTGCTGGCTGGGGTGATGGCTACAGCCCCCCCCCTCCCCCCCCC